GTGAAAGAAACATCCTCTTATATGTGCCCTGACCCAGACAGTGTAGTAAAAATAACACATTCAACACTTTTCATTCAACATTTTTCAAGCTTGGCCTCTCAGGGTGATGCTGATAGTATATTCCCAGTGGAATTTCTAATGTAATTGGATTGAGGAAGGTTAGTTTGGAATGACAGATAATCAACAGCTGGTCTCCTTTAACTCCCCTTGTCATTCCATCCTGAGGAGTCCTGGATAAAATGTGGTCTGAAGCCACCCGAATCACTCCCTAACAAATGGAGCTCATTGCATGTCCATAGTTTTGCACTTTTAAGCTTTGGAGATGGGGGTGTGTTTATATAACCCTCATGCATTTGAATCAAGATCTGAACAGGTCAGGTTAGTATTTTCATAAATAACAAGGAGTAAAATAACAGGCGAGATCCATGTGGTAATATAAACACATGACATTTGCTGTGTGTGCATTAAACCCTAGTGAGCTACCACACGCCTATGACGCCCAAAAATGCTGTCTGTCTAGGAAACTCACTAACCTATGAGCAAGAAGTGTTGGAAAGTCTGACTCTTTTCCGCGAATCAGTTCTTTCCAACAGTTTGTTACAAAAAACGCTTCAAAATGATTATTTATTGTGATTATTCATTTTATGTTTTATTTTGGCTATATAGCCATCGTTTATTACTCGGTTCAAATGCTCTTACCATCAATGCTTATCCGAGAGAGAACTGCGCTGATTCTCGAAGGAATCGTTCAGTCCGGTTTTGTGGTTCAACAAATTAATTGAAAAGATCCGACTCGTTCATCAACCGGACATCTCAAATACGCAAGAAGCCAATCTTAACGAAACATTATCTTGACAATCCGCACACTTACACTCACATACGCACGTGTGAATTCAAAACTCATATGTCATGAAGCGTAAACTGACTTTGTGCTATGATTCTAACTGAAATGAATGGCGTGTCAAGCACTTACCTTGATTAAAGCACGCCAACTTCAAATCCTGCAACGTCCAAAAGCACCGGTCGCTCAATGTAACACTACATAAGAGAAACCCAGCAGTGATGGGAAACTTGTTCTTAAACTTGAGTTGTAATCTGGACCTTTCCCTCCTGTGTGAATCCCACCGACGAGAATATTTACCTCAGTGGGACACTGAAAAGTCGCTTAAGGTCACTTAAGCAGATGTAGTAAAAATGACTGCTGGAGAGTTATGTGTTTAAAATCAGATAGTAATGCTCTATTTTAATGTGAGTACTGTGCCATGGAACATGTACTCAGCAATGGTTTGAAGCGGGTGTCAGCAGCCGCCCTGTCTCTCTGGTTTGAAGCGGGTGTTAGCAGCCTCTCTCTCTCTCTCTCTCAGCAATGGTTTGAAGCGGGTGTTAGCAGCCTCTCTCTCTCTCTCAGCAATGGTTTGAAGCGGGTGTTAGCAGCCGCCCTGTCTCTCTGGTTTGAAGCGGGTGTTAGCAGCCTCTCTCTCTCTCTCAGCAATGGTTTGAAGCGGGTGTTAGCAGCCGCCCTGTCTCTCTGGTTTGAAGCGGGTGTTAGCAGCCTCTCTCTCTCTCTCAGCAATGGTTTGAAGCGGGTGTTAGCAGCCGCCCTGTCTCTCTGGTTTGAAGCGGGTGTTAGCAGCCTCTCTCTCTCTCTCAGCAATGGTTTGAAGCGGGTGTTAGCAGCCGCCCTGTCTCTCTGGTTTGAAGCGGGTGTTAGCAGCCTCTCTCTCTCTCTCAGCAATGGTTTGAAGCGGGTGTTAGCAGCCGCCCTGTCTCTCTGGTTTGAAGCGGGTGTTAGCAGCCTCTCTCTCTCTCTCAGCAATGGTTTGAAGCGGGTGTTAGCAGCCGCCCTGTCTCTCTGGTTTGAAGCGGGTGTTAGCAGCCTCTCTTGCCCCCCCTCTCTCTCTCTCTCTCTCTCTCTCTCTCTCTCTCTCTCTCTCAGGAGCGCTGTACCAGGAAGTTCCCGAGCAATCCCACGACTAATAAAATCACATGTATATCCTGAACTTTCACTTTATCACAATAAAAATAAGACCGTGTAATGAACATGTAGGGTACGTTTTGATGAAAACGAGCCTATTTCATTCATTAGATGATTTGTTTTATTTTAAAGCAGAAACAACAGCACTGCTTACTTTCCTCACATAAGCATACGTGGTCATTCAGAACGAATATACTCGTTCTATATGTCATTTTAGATTAAAATAACTATTGTGACAAATATATCAGTCTTGCGGTATGATTGCTTACATGTGGCATTTTAGATAAGGTAGGTAGTGTGAAGGTAGAATGACGTCAAAAAGATTTGCATACGCAGGCCAACAGTGTAAGCGCGGAAAAATGGAAGTCAGAAGCATGCAGATCATATTTATTTTGCGTTAGCATGAAGCTGCAGTTTCACAATACATGAATTACACTTTCGAGTAACAGTAAAATGCTGCAAATATTTTTATTGCGCTTGAAACACGATTTACACCTTTACAAAGCTTCTCTTGCGCATGCAAATTTAATTTACGCTTACAGTCTTATGTACACTTCCACAAATATTACCCTGCGTATGCAAATCTTTTTGACGTCATTCTGCCTTCATAGGTAGGCGTTACTCGAAAGCACGCTAGCGTTATATCGCCCTCTATTGACAGCACCGTCAAATACTGTATTACAAGGGGTCTTCAGTCTTTTTCAATGCCCCCTAGTATTTAAATGATACTAAAATGACACTACAATTAATCTATACACCAGGACCCATTTCATTTCAATTTTAGTTAAAGTTTTATTACAGTTTTATTATTTTTTTTAAATTATTTTTTTGTCATTTTATTAGTTTTTTTTTATGTCCATATTATATATGATATTATATAGGGTTTAGTTTAGTAAATTTCACCAATTTTTAATTCAGATTTAGTTTTAGTTATTTTAGGCTACATCAAGCTAAACTAAATGAAAATGATAAATGTAGGCTTGGCAACTATAGCTGAAAGAAAATAAGTTAATTGGACTTAAAGTAATGATTTTTACTAGGTTTTTTTCACTATAATAATCTGGAGAAATTAAGAAGCAGCGTTACATACTGTATGGCCTATAAATCTGGCCTATAATAACATGCCATATGAATGCATTTACATTAATGTATTAATGCACTTTTCAAGATTGCTAAACCATTGAAATAATCATTATTATTATTAGGTAGAGTCATATACTTAATCATTTTAATTTTACTTAATGCATTTTAATGATTGAGGGCAATAAAACATTTAACTGAAATTTAGCTAACTTTATTTATTATTTTTTTATATATATACTGACACTGAACCCTTAGGAGCTGAAATCCCCTGTTGAAGGCCCCTAATATGATGCAATGACAAGCAAATTAATCAGTCAACTTTAAATGTTTAAACTCTAAAACAAAGATTTACCACTGACATTATTGTGGTCAAATAAACTATTCTTTCAGATATTATTTGACTGGACCAAAATGTATAATGTTATTAAGCAGCCAATGTGACTCATATTCACAGAATCACAGCCATTCATTCTGAGCATCTTTTTTCTTTCACTCCACACACACTGGATAACGCATGCCCTGTGAAAGGAAAGCCATGTCTAAACATTTCACTGTATCAGTAAACTGCTGAAACAAAATACCCCCTGTCAAGGTGACCTCACCCCTGATTACCCATGTGAAGTGCAGTGTCATGCAGTAGCCAGAGGGTGGAGTGATCGATTCTGCCCTTGTGCTCTTCAACATTCAGACCACCAAACCTACATTGAGCAGAATGAGCTCATTAAGCACTGGCTGAACTGAGAGGAAAGGTTGTATCCTGTTGACAAGGCAATGTTGGGCAGACAGGCTGTACTAAAGGGTGTGTCCATGTCTCCTGTCACCAGTCGAGTGGAAATGGGCATTAAAGTTATTGTTCCTGCCTTTATCAGTTAATTAATAATAGTACAGCGTTTTTCTTTCTTATTAATGCACCTCCCTCTCTTTTTCCATCTCAAACTCACTCAAACTCAAACACACCCAGAAAGGGTGACATGACCTTGCCAGAAAATCAGGAAAAGTATGCTTTTCCGGAATTTTCTGTGTCATTTCCTCATCCAAGTAGCATTCCATTCCAACCACTAATAAATGGACACTAAACTCAAGTGGTTCACAAACTAGAAAAGCTTTTGGTTAACAAAATATGCAGATTCTTATCAGCTAGATTCCAGTATTACACTAGACTTAATGAACCATGAAGAAAGTTCTTCAAACAGAACAAAACAAGTCACAGAGAACAGACAAAGAAAAAACGAGTGCATATTTGAGTTAAAGGGGTGTGTGCTATTTTCCTTTTTGCCAAACAAACTAGAAACATTTATGTCGTCCATAAGAAACATTCAAACATCTGTCAGAGTTAATGGTAATTTTCCTTGCACACAGACAGAGTTTAGTGTACACCCACATTCCTTGGACTGTATTATTATTAAATGGAGTAATCCAGACCCATTCCTCAAAATCAAATAAAAGCTTCTCACAGATACAATATATTGACCATATATTCCATATCAAAAGCCATCTATGTACTGCAACTGCTTTCTATAATTTATCATACAGTTCTGAAATGGATCAGTGTATCAAGTATTGCAGAAAACAAAACTGTAGTCTGGTATTCATTCAAAAGCTTAATCATAATCTAAACCATAATCAACACCACACATATTCATTATACTATCACTTGTGGTTGCTTTATTATAAACAGGCATGTGCTGACAATCATGATCTTGCTTACAGCACGGAAAATTCGAATGAGTCTCGGTTTCAGGGCATGCAAATCTACGCTTTGTTGAACCTAAAATATCCTGACAGCTATCACAAAAAGTAATTTGTTAAGAAATTGCTGGGTCTTTATTGTCTTTATTTAGCTATGCAAATTAGTTTGGAATCTTTTTCTGTTACAGCAAAGAAGACTATTCGTACATTCACATGCATTCATTTAACAGAAGCTTTATCTAAAGGGACTTACCTTAGTGCAGCTTTGGCAGTAAAACTCTCCATTTTTCCCTGGAGGCAGTATGATTTCTCCTGTGGGTATCAGCTGGATCTTCAGCTCCATCATGTCGTGTCTCTTTGACTGTGTTCGAGTGTCCTTCCTCACTCTGTGTGAGGGGCGCTTCAACCCTCACTGGTGCTTCTGCTCTGCTGGATACAGGAGAAAGAGGGACGACATTCATAAACAACAAGATACAAACAAAGGAATATTAAGTAAACCAGGCTGTTTAGTGCTGAAGTAGAATTTACCTGTCGCCAAATAGAGAGTCAATGGAAGTTATTATAGATGTGTGAAGCTGTCCAGGGTTCGTCTCACAGCCAGATGTGCACTATAATTAAAGATTCCTGACGCTGAGCTGCTCTGAGCACTGAGAGTCTGCCGTCAGGGCTTCCTCTAGGCTTCAGCATCCTGTCCTCGACATTCCCAGGATAAACACCAGAGGAGCCCACTCTGTTTCCCCTGCACACGCTTGAATCAGATACACGTTATGCCACATGCTTCTAAAAAAAAGAGTAACTTTCCTTTGTATTTTGATGATGACAGGTTAAAGGAAATATCATTTTGGGGGGAAAGGAGAGGGTATGTGGGTTTGGATGTAACAAATAATGGCTTGACAGACAGGTGGGTGATCTATCTATCTATCTATCTATCTATGTTTTTAGAATTAATTAATTCTTAATTCTAAAACCATATGCTAACGTTAGGGGAATGTTCGTGTTTACTGGGGAGTTCCTCTTAATAATTTTTAAGCGTTTTAAGATGGCGCCGACGCTGATGGCTACCTCCATGGCGTGCTCCGCAGTTGTTTTTATGTTTTTGTTAGTTTGTCCTGTCTTTAGTTATATCCCTGCAATCAGTTTCACCAGAGACGAATTGCTGGACATTCGGAAGTACACACCACCCGATATTTCACCGGTTTTTGATTATTCTGATGTTTTGCTGGACATAGTTGAGCTGCGATCATGTGTAAACATACCTGGCAATAAAGCTCATTCTGATTCTGATTCTGATAATAAATCTGTTTACAAAATAATACATTGTCGGTCTTGAATGCTTTTAAGTATTTAATTCCAAGAAAATGTGAATGTAAATGAATGAGTCTGTAAAATATAGCTTGTTGGAGGGGAAATGACAGAGACACACATCCTCTGACCTGTGTGACATTGGTTGAGACATTCATGATTTCTGGGCATCAACAGGAA